ATGAAATCAATGTTCCCTGTTCAAAAAAGAAAAGAAAAAAAAATCGAGGTAATGAATTGGGATTTGCTTTTGATAACTGCCACTCTTTCTTAATCCGTTGGATCCATACTGAGTGTGGAATGAAACCATTCGTCATTTTTGTGCCCCGTGCGGAGACATCAGTTTGGCATCAGGAAAGCAGCTTTGCCCTGCTGTTTAGCCAGCAATAAGAGTTATAATCCCTCCACTTCAGGTTGTGCTGAATTCCTTTTGGGTTGAGGTCAGTTCCATTATTACGCTGATTATTCCCCGACGAAAGTGGAAAGTTTGTGGATTAGAGCTCAACGGGGGATGTTTCTCTGTGTATCAGCACAAATTCTAGGTCAGTTCTGCTACACGAAACATTAGCTTAATAAATTAGTTGGACCTCTGCATTAACCTGCATGTTCTGTTTGGAGCCTGAGAGACCCTGAGGCCATTTTAATAGCCAATGTTAAATCATAAATGTTACTTGTCTGGATGCTCGCAGGCAAGTGCTGCTTATTCTAGCTTTTTCTGATAAGTGCACGCAGGAGTGTGTTAATGCCATTATTTTTGTCTGTATTATGCATATAAAGAGCATTTGCAAGCAGAAGAACATTGAGTTTTTTTGAGTCTCTCTGGGGCTTTTATTGTGCAAGTTTCGCAACTGCAAATACAGCTGCCACCCCTCCCCCAACACACCCTTACTTTTTATTTGTTTTTGTTTGTAAGAATATTTTTTTAACACAGGCTCATTCTGAAAACGTAGCCCTATACATTTCTGGAGATCAGGAATTATGTAGTAAGAAGTACATATGGCTGCATTTCTTCTTTAAAATGAACAATAGGGGGCGATACTTTTCCTTTTTACGCTTACTATTTACTTCCGTATGTACGGCTTTCTCACTGTTCAAATATATCCAGTTTGCTTGCCATGTACATTGGTAGACTTGAAACGCAGAGAGGAGTTGACCACAACAACAGGATTCAAGTCCGGCGAAGAACGGTTCCAGAAAGCGATAAAGACAAAAATTTTAATAAACAAGTAAATTACAAGGTGAGAATGTGGTAGGATTTGAAAACGTGGTAAAAATAAGACAAGGGCGTTTCTTTTTTGTCTGGATTGCTTTTTAAAACTGTTGGTTTGGTTTAGAGAAGTGGGTGGGCGGGTCAATCTGTGCTTTTGAAAACACTATCGGTTAGGTTTAGGGAAGGAGGAGGGTGGATCAGTCGGTCAGACGACAGCGGCTTCTGGTAGATTTACATGAACACAGCAGGCGCTCATGGCACTCCCAAGAGAAATTTGAGATCTCAAAAAGCATACACGGCAGCCTCTGGTGGATTCGCGAAAACAAAAACAGCAAAAAAATAAATAAAAGAAAAAACGTTCCTCCTGGGCTGTATTTGGCACTCTCCAGAAATCTATACAGAGCCATTTTGGGTTGGTATTTTTTGTTTACAAATATATTTAAATATGTTTTTGTTTATTTGATTGTAAAACTAACAATTATCAAATGCCATGTTAGAAAACATTTTTGCTTGCAGAACATTCTCTCTGTTAGCACATCAGTAAAAAACATTTTTTTTATCCAGCTTTTAAATTCATATAAACTAACTTGACACACAGACACAGAAACAGACACAAACAAATAAAGGATCCTTAAAGGGCCAGTTCACCCAAATAATTAAAAAAAACTGTTATGAATTACTCACTTTTCACTTCAAAACCAGTTTTGGTTCAAAACCAGCATTCAGAAACAAGGCTGCTCAAACAAAACTCTTTGGAACACATGCTAAATGTTAGCGAATTACATGTATTTTACACAGACAGAAATGATTTTGTAACTGAAACTGTTTAACAAAGTTTAAAGTAAAAAAATAATTGGTTTGACAATTCACAGAAGTCAGAAAAGCTGATTTTTTTCGTTGAATTTATTTTATTATATTTTTACAATGACCCCAAACAAAACTAATTCAAGACGCTTCTCTTGATGCATGTCTGATTTGTGTTCAGGTTAAAGCTGGCTGCTGACATACTACTGAGTATGACAAATAAGATTAATATTATTTTAACTTATGGAGGAAATCCTCTTTATTACTATCAAATAATATTTGGAAATAACGTGTAACAGGTATGTAGCTTGATGTCTGGGCATAACATAGTGTTTGTCTCTGGGCAAAGTGTATATGTGTTTGTGCTGTCAGACTGTTGGGCTGAATCAAGGGGTCAAACAGGGGCTGGACTAGACAACTGAGAGACTGAAACATGCGAAGCCTGTTCTCGCTGCCACTGATAACCTCAGACAGCCACTGTTCTGGGTCAGGAAGAGAGTAGTGGGGGTGAGAAGCACATTGTGAAGAGAGAACAAAAAAAGTTGGTGACCTTCCTGTGGACTAGGATTAAAGTGTGTTTCCTGTGCACATCCCCCTCTGTTCTTTTCCCAGGGTCCCTCTGACACCAGCACCGTGCTCTCAGCCTGGGCCTGGACTTTGGGGCGGTGGTCTATATTTAGCTCTCCAGTGTCACACGATAGCTTGGCTAACCAGTGGAGCTTCTCAGAGTCTGCCCTAAACCAGTCTGAGTAGCCCTTATGTGATTAACACTGACTAGGATGTGCGGCACGAGGCCTGTCTGCATGGGTCATGTGCTGAGACACTCACATGCATTCAGTGATGACAGCGTACATGTTGTATGCACACACAATTTAGGATGCTCTAATAAAAACACTAGAGCATCTGTATCTCAGTAAAGATTTTATTTTGAAAATATGAAAGTGAACATTCAGACCTGTTTTTTTACCCAGAGAGAGCAGTTATCTTGTATAGTTAAAAGACTGTTGATTGTTTAGACAAGAGATGCCTAAAGTAGGGCCTGCAGGCCAAAGTTGGCCCATTGTAACCTTTAATTTGGCCCACCATCCCATCTGAAAGGAGAGTAAGAATGATGGAGAGGGTTGGGGCGAATGCCTTTAACACAAAGATTGTCATTTATAATTTGATGTAAACTTTTTTGTTTGTTTGGTTGCTTTTTATTCATCTTATTTAGAGCAAACTAAAATTAAATGGTTCAATTGAATGTTGTTAAAGAATCGAATTTTTAAAAATGTAAATACTGTCACTCGATGGTTAGAGGACTATGCTGAAGACATCGGCGAGCAAATCAATGAAAATACTATTTAATTCTGTAATAAATTAGATTGTTTTGTTTTTACTGACATAAGTATTTTATAAAATGTAAAAAAAATGCATTACTTAATATAAAGCAATGTTTTTTAGTCATTTTTTAACAATATTAAATAAATTAGGAAATTAGTGGCAACTATATATACCTTCGGCCCACTAGCCTCAATCAAGTTTGGTTTTGGTCCTTTTCAAAAAAGTTTGGGCACACCTGGTTTAGACTTTTGGTATCGTTATTTGTTCCAAGAAGTCATCACAGAAGTGCGTTTATTATTGAATTGTTTGTTCAAAATATTCATTAAAAAATGTTGATTCATCCAGTAATGCGTTAAGTAATGTCTGTGGTTGAGTCACTCAAGCATTGGCTCAAAGATTTATTTAGAAATGTTAATCCTACCAATAATGATCAATTGAAGTTTTATCAAGCAACTCAATTAACAAATTGTTCAAGGGTTTTGCAAAAAATTCTGATACTTCCAGAAGATTCAAGAAATGTTCAGAAAAGTGAAGTCTTTATTGGTGAGTCACTGAATCATTGGCATTGAGCCATAATATCTGTTCATTTAATTGAGTGTATTTTGGATGTTTCCTTACTATTGGATATCTGACTTGGAATTTTTTTGTAATTAATAGTCTGAAAAGAAATGAACATGTCAGTTTTATGTTGTTGTTAAAGTTCATCAATCAATACAGTATCAAAATAAAGAAAACATTATAGAGCAGCAAATCATCATATAGAATGATTTCTGAAGAACGATGTGACACTGTACACAAGAGGAATGATGTTGAAATTCAGCGCTTCTATTATATAAAGGAATTATTTTTGAAAACATAAAGCATTTACTTGTCATAATATTCGTACATTACATGACAAAATATGATCATGCCTTGATTTTTAATTTTTTAATTAGGACAGTAAAGTCTGACTTTGCTTAGACAAAAGTCTTGCCACTTAACAGAAATAATGTACAGTATAGAATAAAATGTTATGGTGCAGTGGAAAAAAAATTTATATTGTGTATGACTCCTATGAGCTTGAACAACCGCACCCATACATCTCTGCAATGACTCAAATAACTTATTAATAAAATAATTTATAATGGAAAAGAAAGTGTTTGGACTCCTTGAGTTCATCAAGATTTTTTGGATTGATCTTCAATGTCATCTTATTACAGACATGCTCAATAATGTTCATGTCTGGTGACTGAGCTGGCCAATCCTGGAGCACCTTGACCTTCTTTCTTTCAGGAACTTTGATATGGAGGCTGCATTATGAGAAGGAGTGCTATCTTGCTGAAACATTTACCCTCTCCTGTGGTGTGTAATGTAATGGACAGCACAAATGTTTTGATACCTCAGCCAGTTAATGTTGCCATCCACTCTGCAGATCTCTCACATGCCCCCATACTGAATGTAACTTCAAACCATAATTTTTCCTTCACCAAACTTGACTGATTTCTGTGAGAAAATTGGGTCCATCTGGGTTCCAATAGGTCTTCTGCATTATTTGTGATGATTGGGATGCAATTCATCAGATGAATCATCAGAATAATCTACCTTCTGCCATTTTTCCAAAAGATCCAATAAAGTCAGGTTATTATTTGTAGCTCTTTTACTTGGGATCGACGACAAGAGTTTTGTCAGTAGTAAAGTCTGTGATGGGAAAAATTCTTCGCAGTGCCTTAGCTATGGGATATATTTAGTGTTATAGTGTGTTTATGTAGAGTGTGTTTATATATAAGACAGATTTATTTTGTTTTCTCTGTGCTCTCGATGGTTATTCCCGACCTAATTCCTCTTTCTTCTCTTTGTCTGTCCAGACTCATACTCAGCCGCTGGCAGTGAGGGCAGTATCTCCACCTCGGTGGCCTCTCTGCCGCCCCAGGCTTCGGGCAGTTCGGCCCCAAACTCCCCAGGCTCCCGTCGCTCTGTCAGCACCCTGAAGAAGTGGCTGACAAATCCGGTGCGTAAGCTTAGCGCTGGGGCAGCAGGAAGTGCCAAAGGGGAGCGGCAGGTCCGCAGATTGGAGGGCAAACCCCCGCCTCCACCCACCAGGAGCAGCCAAGAATTGGGCAGCCCACAGTCAACAGAGGAGCAGTTCACCATCCTACCAGGCATAGACAAAGAGCTGGTGAGGAAAATGTTTTCATGTGTCGAAAAATCACTCAATATTAATAAGTATCAAATAGCGTTTCACAGAAAATCATAAATCTTTATTTTATCATGGACTCAATTATTGCATTTATTTTTTTCAGTGAAGATAGACAGTTCTTATTGAATTATGCAATATTGCTGTATTTATCATACATTTTTATCTTTGTTCCTGTTTTTTGTGCGATCTTATCTTCTTACAATGACATACATTCTCTGATAACATGTTTAAGGGTGTGTTGGAGGGCCAATACCAATCCACCATAATTCAGTAATCCAATCAGATCTTACTAGGCAAAAATCTAGACCTGCTCTTTGTGTTTAAAGGGATAGTTTACACAAAAATGATTTTAAAAAATGAATTTACTCACAATTTTCTGACCCTCTAATTGTTCCAACCCTTTATGAGTTTATTTCTTCTGTTAAACACAAAAGAAGATATTTTGAAGAAAGCTAAAAACCTGTCCTCATTGACTTCCATTGTAGGAAAAACGACTACTATGGAAGCCAATAGTTACAGCTTTCCAGCTTTCTTCAAAATATCTTCTTTTATGTTTAACAGAAAAAGAAAGTAATAAAGATTTGAAATAATTAACGGGTGAGTAAATGATGACAGAATTTTCTTTTTTTTGTGTATGTGAACTATTCTTTTATCCTTTTAACTATCTTTTCCCAAATCTTTGAGAAAAATGAGTTAGGCTAAAACAGCCCCTATTTTAGATTATAAAAGGTCATATTTTAGTTTTGGGGTCACCAACAACAAGCTGATTTGCATGCAAGGTCTTTCATTGTCTTATAATATGCATTTAGTTTTACTTAATTATCTCAATGACTTCAGCGCAAGATGGAGAGAAATGCCCACCATGGCTTTGAAGTAGCACATAGGGTATGTGAGAGCCCAATGCAGGAATGCAATAAAGCAATGCAGTTAAACTCCAGCATTTTACTCTACTCTTAACGCTAACCCCAAGTATTAACAACGACACACATTCAGTATTAATCCACACAGTGGCAAAAGTTTAACTATGTTGAAAATTGACCGAATTACACGTGTATGAACAGCTGATGGTTGCCATAGCAAAGGCAAACAGCAGAGGATCACGAGTTCAGAAACGCATTTACATTGTCTTTTGTACAGCACTTTGGTCAGTCTTGTGACTGCTTTTAAATGTGCTTTATAAATAAATCAACTTGATCTTGAACTTGAACTTGTATTTAAATTAGTAAAGGAAGAAGCCCGAGTCACACATTCAACGTGGTTTAGGACACAATGTGAACAGCTTATCTATAATAGATAAGTGATTACAAGCTGTGCAAGACGATTACAACTTGTAACACACAATTAAACACATATATATTTTGCAAACTACACAAAATGAGGCAACCATTTTAATTACACTGACATGTTATGATATGGAGGAAGAAAAAACTGGTTCATATGAACTGTAACAGTTACTGACAAAGTCCCTGTCAAAGTCTGATAAAGTGTCATTGTAACGTCGGGGAGTGACACACACAACTGGAGGTAAGATCCAATATGAGGGTTTTATTCAACGTCAAGCAAGCAATCGTCAAATCAGGTACAAACAGGTATGTGTAGGCAAATCCAGAGTCATAATCAAAGTACAGGCAATAGGTCGTAGGGCTGGCGGCTAAACAGGATAACTAGGATAAACAAGGCTAGGATCGAGACATGGAGAAACAAGACAAGGAGAACCGCGTTGTAATGTCACTGTGAACGAACAAGACTCTGCAAACAGGATGGGTAAATGAGTGGCTTATGTAGGGTGTCTAATCAGTCTCTGAAAGTCCTCAGGTGTGCGAATGTAATCAGTCTAGATGAATGAGCAGGCGTGAGTGTGACCGGAGAGCATGTATGCATATGTAGACCAAGAGAAAGCGGAAGTGTAGGATATGTGAGAGAACCAGCGATCGCTGGAGAATGATCGCTGGTTATCGTGTCTGTCATACATAATGATCTCTGCTGCTCCTTCATTTAATAGCAAACGGCTGGCGAATCCTGCGTTGCAACATAGGTTATTGTATCACAAATAAAATAAAAAATAAATAAATAACAAGAACAAACACAACAGTAGGTTGGCTACACTGTGGTATTGTTGTGAAAATTAATTATAACCCTTTATTCCCCGCAGCCGAATCTCCATCTGTCAGTTATCATCTATTCACATCATGATCAGTCCCTTGATTCCTGCAGGCCCGCGCTAGCGTTAGTGTCTGAAGGAAAAGTCTCCTTCACGTTTTACTGGATCAAAGCAAAAAGATCAAACAAAAGATCTGAACCCAACACGAGTCATTCATTCAACTCTGAGTCGATTATTTCGTTAAAGAATCAATAATCAATTAAGTTTTAAACACGGTGCACTTTCACATTTAAACCTCAGCTGGATGTTTTTACTAACTTAGTGCTGTGTTACACACTGCATACAAGGACATTTTACAAAACCCATGATAGGAACTCTTTGAAAGTAATCAAAAATATAAATTGTTACATTAAATGTGGAATCTAGTAATTACATTACTAAATATAATTGTGTAATTTGTCTTTAGAAATACACAACAATTTCTAATTAATCTCCCCAGCTCTGCCTATGAGTATATTGATAATAAAAGAAAATTTAACTAATCAATTAACTGATTATTTGTTTCCTCAAACTGCAAGAATCTTGTTTAGAAACTAAGCAAAATAATCATGATGATCAGTTTAACCATTATCATGCAGCCGGGGTATCAACAAGCCTTCATATCCTGTTTGTTCGATCACAGAAAGTATCAGTTTACATCACACTACAGGTGTTGCTCTGTTTTTCATAACGCAGTGTGAGTTGCACCACACCGTGCGGCCAACTGCTCGCTACAGCCCTGCGGTTCGCCTCTGTCCAGGTGAACTGACCTTTAATCGCAGTGACCCTCCAATACACTTCTCATCATAGTCTCACACAGAGAGGAATTATGGGTCAGCTTTATTTTGACCTGAGTATTGATGTTTGGGAAAGACAGTGAAGGTTGTGGTTCCTGCTTGTTTTAAAGCAGTCTTGTGTACGTGTGTTTTGTGTGTGTAGGAGTGGAAAGATGGACTGCCTGCTCTTGGCGACTGTGATCCAGGTCTCCTGCAGTCCTACAGCTTCCAATCGGACTCTCCACAGGGATCCACAACACTAGGACAAACACAGGTAATGCTGTGATCAGTGTTTTTCCATTTTGATAGTCATGGTGTCAGATTGTGTTAGGGCTTGGACAAGAAAGATGTTAGACTACATGTTTTGCTATCTGACCACATCTTTAAAGGAGTAGTTCACCCAAAAAGGAAAATCCTGTCATTATTTACTCATCTTACACTGTTTCTAAATCTTCCATTGACTCTCATAGTATCTTAGTGTTCATACTATGGATGTCAATGACTATGTTTTTATTTAAAGATGCAAATTAGATTCATGAGCATATTGTATAAAGCATTGGAGAATAAAGCTATGTTTCCATCTAATGAGTCAAAAGAACAAATTCGTCACCTAAGAAATTGGAAAAATTGAACTTTGCTGCCATAGTAGAAGCCACAGTGGGGCTATTTTATATATATATATATATATATATATATATATATATATATATATATATATATATATATATATATATATATATATATATATATATATATATTATACATATACACTGCCGGTCAAAAGTTTGGAGTCAGTAGGATTTTTAAATGTTTTATAATAAGCTTCTCCTGCTCACCAAGGCTACATTTATTTAATCAAAAATACAGTCAATTTTGTATAAATGTGAAATGTTATTGCACCATAAAATAACTTCAAAAGTAGTTAATATTTAATTTAATCATTTATTCCAGAGATTTTAAAGATTTAAAGATTTTTATTACTCCAGTCTTCAGTCACATGATCTTTCAGAAATCACTCTAATATAAATTATTTTTATTATTATTGTTATTAACAAATAATATAGAATACACAAGACATGTCACTCGTATCGTTTTTAATGGGGTAAAGTGTAACGGTCAATATGGTGAACAAAACCCTGCCTACTAGTACACGTGGCAATCATCGATCGCTAAATGGCAAATAAATCCTGCCTTCTAGTACAGGAGCCAATCACAGGTCGAGACTCGTGAGTTTCTGCAGATTTTGTGTGATTCAAATGTTTAGAAATTAATCTAAAGACACAGTTGTTTATTTCATTGGTGATTCCTAATATGAAATTCAGTCATAAGCTTGGCAAGCAGTTTTGGAAAATTTGATGTTTCCCCATTCAGACAGAACGCCTGAGCATACTGCCTAAGGGGTGTTTTAAAGATGCCCGTCAAGTGAATGACTTGCCTTTTAGAGACTTTGTTATTAATGGTGTTATTATTAATAGCGGTAATAGTAATAAAAGCAATAATTACTGGAATGATTTAATATGAAACTACATACAATAAAAAACAGTTATTTAAAATGTTTATGAATATTAACAATTGAATTTAGTGTTTTTACATTTAATAAATGCTGCCTTGATGAACACAATCATTTTCAAAAAAAAAAAAAAAAAAAGAAACATGAAAAAACTGACCCTAAACTTTTGACCGGTAGTTTATATATACTTATAATATTAATATAACGGGGACTGTCGCTGGTTTGTCCATTAATACTATCCCATCACGCTTACTTTATCACATGATCTAGTAAAACAAAATCACATGACTTTTTTTGATGTGCATGCTGGAATTTATTTGTAAATGTGATTCCATCATAATTTATGTGCATTTTTTTCTAATTGTATTAAATGTTTATCCTGCTTAGTTGTGCATATATATATATTTTTTGCTAATTTTTTAAATTTTAGTAATTCCATTCAACATTATTTTATTTGATCCATCCCAAAACGCTCATATAAATAGGTGGATGTAAACAAAGCTAAGGTCTGCTTTTTCCAACATTCTTCGAAATATCTTGTTTAGTGTTCAACAGAAGAAGGAAATTCAAAAAAGTTTAGTAAATTAGTATCACATGACACACAATAAATGTTTGTCCATTGTTTAGGGGCATGAGAATGTAACATTGATGTCTCTGTAACAACAAACTGATATGTGAAACTGTTGGATGTATTTTTTTCTGTGCCATAAATATTTTTGAAAACTTACCTATTAGTCTATCACAAGCACTAGCTTTAATAGTTGGAAATACAAAACCTTTCTTCTTTTATATTACAGGGTTTTGCTCTCATGATAGCTTTGCTTCCAGGTGGACTGTTAAAAGCGTGTCACACATATCACAGAAATCCTGTAAAATCATGATGATGACTTTGAAACTCCTGAAGAGATTCCAATTTGATTTACCGTATGTCTCAGATGCTCAGCCAGCAGTCTGTGGGCATAACGTTTTAGCCTGAGAGTAGGGATTTAGTTTTTTTTTTTTTTTTTTTTTTGCCAGTTTGCACAGAAGTTTGGATGTGTGAGTTTCCACACTGAATGTGAGAGTGGCCAGATGGTCATCTGACTGATGGGTCATTTGTTGCCAGGCTCTCTTACACAGGGCGAACCTATAAAAGTGAGAACATGCATTACTCAAACACACTTCTTATAAAGTGGGGTCCAAAGTACTTCTATTTTTCGTTAGTAGGGCTCAATAGATATTTTTTCGTTTATGGTCACAAAGTTGTATGTATTTGATTAAACGTACAGTAAAACAGACAGAAAACAGTAAAGTATTAGAAAAGTGTTATTTAGGCATGGTTAACTAAAGTTGGGAAGCCAAAATTATAACTGGTACAGTATGTGTTAAACTGCCACTTTAATGACTGAGCCGTTAAAAGGTGTGGGAAGTACATTATAGAGGATTGAAAACATTCTTCTTTATATGGAGAAATCAATTAAACCAGGCTTAAAACCGCTTATTGTACTTTACATGCCCAATATTTCTAATCGTGCACATGGGCTTTGAATTGTATTTGCACTACTTAGTGATAATCACAGACTCAAAGTGTTGACAAGTGTATGTGTCAAGGGAAATAATGGATATCAGCTACTGTATGTTAAAAGTCACGAGAAGACTTTAAGGAAAGGCTTTATTCATGAGACTGTTTGGTACTCTAATGTACCATAAGTATATTTTGGGCTTTAGCATACATATTTTTTAATTATCAATTTCTTAGTTTTATTTATCTGTAGTTTTAAAATCTGAGATTTTCAATATGGTCTCAGACATTTTAGACCCCACTGCACTGTATATTTTTGTATGGTTTGTATCCTCTCTGAGCCAAAGCATATAATTTAATATAAAACACTGTGCCACACACAGGCACACACACACACACACACACACACACACACACACACACACACACACACACACACACACACACACACACACACACACACACACACACTCAAACACAAACACAATAGCTGGAAGAGAGCAAATCCTGATTGAAGGCTTAATGCACTAGCATTCATCATTCCATTCCATCAAAACTGATGATAGGTAATTATGACCAGAGGTGCAAAACAACAAGAGGAGGAACCTGAGATCCGTGAGCACTGTGATTATAATTGGAAATGAGTTTAACATTTAGTTCAGCAACAGCGTGAAGCTCACGACTACACATAAGTGAAACTAATCACAGAGACAGACACACAAGTATAAGTGTTACAGTGTTTATATTTAGGTGCTATTTTTATTTTTCACATTCAAAAGAAAGGGATTTATTACTTTTTTTTTTAAAGAAGACTCTTACTAGGCTCAGATTATTTGATCGAACGTATGGTACACTGTAAACCCTAGTAAGTTGAGACTACTCAAATGATTTGAGGAAAGTGATTCCCTCAGTTTGTTTGAGTAATGGGAAATTGACAACTCAATTAATTGAGTTGACCAATTGGTCTCTTTAACGAATTAACTTAAATGTTTATTTATTGCAGATAACTTAAATGTTTAAGTACAGATCATTTAAATGGCTAATAGACTAAATTTCCAACTTTTTCAGCTTTTATATTCTTCACTTACTCCCAGGGCTGTTTATATCGAAGGTGATATTTAGCCGCACCATGTTGGTGTTTCGTAACATCTAATTTTTATGAGGTGGGTCGTTAGCCCAACGTTCAACCCCCAACCTGGAGGACCAGAACATGCAGACATACACTACGGACAATTTAGCTTGCCCAATTCACCTATACCGCATGTCTTTGGACTGTGGGGGAAACTGCAGTACCTGGAGGAAACCCACGTCTGCACAGGGAGAACATGCAAACTCTAGACAGGAATGCCAACTGACCACCTGTGACTTGTGACCTTCTTGCTGTGAGCCGACAGCACTGCCTGTTGTGCCACTGTGTCACCCCTGTGTGTATATCAATTAAGAAAAATGTATACAAGCATTCAAATATCTACTTACTTACTAATTTAACTTTTCCCTTTCGTCAGCTGGGTTCAGGTAGTGCCTCTGTCTTGCTGCGCTTCAGCAAAATTCAGCATCACAAGCAAACTGACCACCTTGTGTCATATAACATACAGTTGAAGTCAGAATTATTAGCCCCCCTGAATAATTAGCCCCCCTGTTTAGTTTTTTTCCCCAATTTCTGTTTATTGGAGATCAGATTTTTTCAACACATGTCTAAACATAATAGTTTTAATAACTCATCTCTAATAGTTTATTTATTTTATCTTTGCCATGATGACAGTAAATAATATTTGACTAGATATTTTTCAAGACACTTCTATACAGCTTAAAGTGACATTTAAAGGCTTAACTAGGTTAATTAGGTTAACTAGGCAATTAGGGTAATTAGGGAAGTTATTGTAAAACAATGGTTTGTTCTGTAGACTAAATAAAAAATATATAGCTTAAAGGGGCTAACAATTTTGTCCTTAAAACGGCTTTTAAAAAATTAATAACTGCTTTTGTCCTAGCCGAAATAAAACAAATAAGACTTTCTCCAGAAGAAAAAATATTATCAGACATACTGTGAACATTTCCTTGCTCTTTTAAAAATATTATTAGGGAAATATTTTAAAAAAAAAATTAAAAGGGGGGCTAATAATTCTGACTTTAACTGTATATCGATTAATCAGCGCATTTGTCAAGGCAGAATATCAAGCGCAGCCAATCATTTTAAACTGAGGGATGGTAAATCGTTTAAATATATTAAAATGTATTAATTGAAAGTTTTTTTTTTTTGCTG